TCAGTTCTTTAGTCTTCAATACTGTAATAAATCCCCGGTGAAGCCGGGTATCGCCGAGTGCCGTGAATAACAGCGATGAACGAGGCTGTGACAGATGCGCCAAATTAACGTCCCTGGAAAGGCAAGGCGGTAGGAGCTACCGGAGGAGAATACCGTATTGTGTGCTAAATTTAGTGTCTGTTCAGCGTACCAAGAAACCAGATGTCACATTAGTTAGTGATTTTATTTGCATAGTGTTGCGTTCTTAGCAAGCGGTGTCGTTTTTTGCTTTAACGAGGCAAAATGTCAAACTCCTGCTTGAGTTGCCTTTAAAATAATCCTGGCAAGGTCAGTGCATACAGGTCCGTAACAGGTCCACCTTAGCAGAGATTTTACATTTCTGAGGGTGTTTCAGAAGTGCGTTTGCTTTGCTGTGAAAGTAATTATTTTGAGTTAGTTTACAAATATGTGTAATGTATGGCCAAAATATTGACGTGTAGTTGTGTTTCTACGTTTACTGTACCCTAACATAGCTTTCAAAACATTAGAATCGTAAGTAATTCTACTTTATGTTTCTTTACAGTACTGGCACAAAGGATGTTTCCACTGTGAAGTTTGCAAAATGGCTCTGAACATGAATAACTACAAAGGATATGAAAAGAAACCTTATTGCAATGCGTAAGTATTGTAAATATCAAGTCTTGCAGAAATGCACATGAAAAGAAAACCTGGCCATGGTTATTGTCAAATAGGTATTGCCACACTGTAAAAGCTTAATCTAGAGATGCAGCACTGCAGTCCAGAGCAGTCTAGTATCTTTTCAGGTTGCGTATTGAACTTGCATTGAAGTGATAGAAGATGAAAATATTTGATTATGATGTGTTTAAGCAGTGTTTTAATATTAAATCTCAGAATACAGGAACTTGCCTTCCAGAAAGTGTCGTATTTGGTGCTGACTTCTGTTACATTCTTTATTGGTCTTCTGGGTTACAGTTGTCCATTATGCAGCAGCTCTCTGTTCAGGGTTATGGACCTGATCAGCATTTTGTAATAGGAAAACAAAGTGCTTCTCGTTTGTGTAGTTTACCAGAGACAATATCCTGTTAGAGATCATGACAACCTATTTTTGAAACTTACATTGTTCACATATCTCGGATTACTGAACTAGATATTTACAAAATCCCTGCTTCTAGTGCTTCATGCTATTTTGTATTTTGCTGTTCTCTTAGATTTTATAAAGAAAATAGATCAATTTTGTTTGTAGAGTGTGAACATGCTGTGTTCCACTTTTAGATTTTTTTTTTTTTTTTTTTTTTTTTTTGGTGTGTATTTTGAAGAGTGCTTTGATGCTTGGCTTGCAAATAGTGCAGAAGAACATTTTGGTACATGTAGAAAAAAGGTGCTTACTGTTCTTTGTACCATGCTTCTATGATTAGCTAAGTGCATTTCAGTATGTTTTAATCTTTAGAAAGTTAGATGCTTTGTTAGAAGGGTACCTCAAAAGGATTTGGAATTGAATTTGATGTTACATGTTACTAATATGTTGTTGTGTTGTTACTATTCTCACCTTTATGTACTTAAAACATTTTTTTTAAGGGACAGAATTTTGAAACAATAGGCGCATTGTGTTTTTTTTGAGAAATACTCTCCTATACTCATCTTAAAATACGTGTTTCATGTTGAGTTAGATAGTCTATGGCTGGTTGTCACAGATAGTTCAACAGCAGATGCTCATTTCTTCCAGGCTAAAATCAAAGCCAGATAGTTCCTATCTGTATAAAATATGAGTTTCATAATTAAAACTGCTGTGCTGCCAAAACTTGGAACACCTGTTTCAGTTTGCACAGTTGTAGTTAGATTGCTTTAAGAACATATGGAGTTACGCACGTACATTTCTAGCTTTCCTTGCAGTGCTCTAGAGTGTATGGGGGTGACGTTAAACCTCTTGTAATAAACTGTGGTCGGTTTCTAGTCCTAAGTGCTGTAGAGAAAGCTCTGCAGGAAGGGAGATTCAAGCTTCAACAGGTGCTATGTTGCAAGTTGAGACTAATCTAGAGGTTCCTGGCCCTAGATGGGACTCTGCTGGTGGTGCTATTTGAGTTGAAGTATAAGTATGGGCTTACATCCTTTACAGTGATTAAAACTCTGATAATGCTTTGGTGCCTCTTACCTAAATTTTCGTGGTTAAATTTCAGTGACGATACTTTGGTTGTTTGATCTTTCCTGATCTACCTGATCAGATACTTACTTGTACTTAGTAACATTGTTTGTTTACAAGGTATCCTCTGTGCAATACATCTGTGTTTCCATGCTCTGCATATTCAGCTTCTGTTGTAGGAGAGTTTTTCATCTATGTATTTATGCTATGCTGTGTGTCTTTCTAGTTACAGATGAGAGGGAATAAGGATGATGGATATGTTATATACCATTAAGGTGCTATTCTTCCTGGTAGTTGCTTTAATGATCTTTGTTATAGTGATGCTTGAAAGAAATAATCTCTATTTTTGAGAAGTCCCTCAAATCTGGTAAATGAATCGGGAAGAAACAATGAAAATCCATGGAAAAATTAGTTTCTGCTACTAGAGAAGAGGCAGAACATAATGTATAGTATCAATAATGTGTATTTTGTTCTTAAGTTTCAGTAAACTTAAGGGGTTTTGTTTGTTTTGTTACTTTTTTTTTTTTAGAAATTTTAATCAAATACTCTGATTTCACATGTTCTATGGAATCACAAAGGGAAGAACAAGGTGTGCTTTGTGGTTTCAACAAACTTTAATATCCTCCAAAGGAGGGATAAGATGTTTATGTTTTGCAAATACAATTGATTTAAATGACGATATTTTGACACAGTACTCTTACATCTCAAAGGTTACTTATTTGCAAAGCGTATGTCACTATAGTATTTCAAGTTATGATATGTCTTATCCAGTGTTCATTAGTAAGAGACAAATCCATCTTTATGTGAAATACTGCTTGATCACAAAATCTGTGAAGAAAAGAGTGCAGATTTACTCATACAAACACCTACAAGTGCTTGAAGAGAGCAATTACTGTTAGACTGGTTATTGAGGCCATCCATCAGTGAGAGTGTAATTTCTAGATAAAAGTGAAGTAAGCACTAATTTGGATGGGAGACCAACACCATGAAGTAGTTTAGTAGGTTTGGAAGTTAGCTTTTTGTAAGGACAGGTCAAAGAGCATGTATCTTCAATAATTTCTGCATCTGTTTCTTAGTTCACAGGTTTGTTCATGTGCTTGACTATATTTTGACTTTTGAACTTAAAATATTGCACTTTTTTTGAGGTGCTAAATTAATAATTCTTGCTGCAGTACTGGCAAAGATCAGAAGTTACTTTAAGTGTAAAATATAATTGTGTTTCTGTTAGTATAAGAAAAAGATACTGATTTGTGAATGTTCAAACTATACTTCTGGTGGAGGAGAGTCAAGTCAGATGGATTAATAGGAAATAGTGAACTAAGAAGGAATATATTGTGAAATACTTTAATTCAGTGACCATTAGAAAAGGGCAGAAATATTTGTAAGTGCAGGATTCTGCTTTTTTTTTAAGGGCAAATTTTTTTGTTGGGCAGCTGCTTTTATTTCCAGCAAAATGGTTGCAGGTGTTCCTTGCGATAAGGATACACCGACAGCAAAAGTAATGGCTGGGCTACTGACATAGTAGAACTGGTACAGGTCAAGAAGCTGAGTTGCCTAGTATTGCACTTGTCATACTGTTTTTGTGAGTTGGAGACTTATGAAAGATTTTGCAGTCGGGTTAAATGGAAGACTTTGTCTACATATGCCTGCGTATAATATGGCTTTGAAAAGAATTATATTTGTCTCACTGAGTTTCCATGAAGTTCCTTGATCTGGCTCCTTTAATCCTTTCAATTCTCTTACTTGCAGAGAAAAGATTATATAACTTTGTTCCCTCTCTCTTTTTTATTATTTGCATAATTTGTGACATATTTGAGTTAGGATAGTTTATCTCTGCTTGTTTGTGTAGTGCTTAGAATATTGTACTTTTATCGCAGCTGGGACCTCTAAGTAGTACAGTGCTCTGACTTACGGTGTTGTGTTTCTTGCTTTAATTGCATTCGTGTTTCATCTAAAGGCCTCATACACAACATTGTGAAGCTTGTAGATGCTTAGCACATGGACACTGCTAGATTTGCCTGAACAACTTAATTTTGTCTTTTTATTTGCTGTCTGAATTTAGATATGCCACATTGACAGAGAGCTGCCTGATTTGTGAAATAATGTTGATGAGACTAGGGGCTCAGAGTTGTAGTTGGGTTTTGCAGTTCAGCCAGGTGCTCTGCATTGCTTGAATCAGGTGAAGGAGCCATTCTTTGTCTCTCTGAATGTGTATGTAGTTAGTAAATACACGTTAAGACAATTAAAATGACTTGGGTAGTCCGAAGATTTGTTAAATCAAGGTGGCTTTAATGCAAAACCCCCTGTTCCACTTTAATATCTGCAGATAGAGATTGTTTAATATAAAGGGAAATTATGAGAAGAAAAGTTGTTATTTGCAAACTCAGAGCTGATTCTTCCCAGCTGCAAATTACCAAGATGATGCAAGGAAATGAATGGCATTTTGGCAACTAACCATCTGTGTACTAGTTCTCAAGCTTGTTAAATGATTGAATCATTTAGGATGATTAGATGGTAACTTATGAATGGTAACTTATTCTTACAAATATTCATACAAATACTTTTTTGACAGATTCACTAGACCAAAACATAAGACTACTTTTTATGCAAAACGTAGAAGCTGAAATACGTGTTTTCGGATTTTTCTCTCTGCATTAGCTATACCTGTTGATGCAGACTTCCTGCATGTGTGAACATATCTGGCAGAGATGTATCTTTTAATTTCAGCAAAACCTAAATGCTTAAGCTTCTGCAGACCTGACATACCCTCTTACAAAAAGCAAACAACCTCACTGTTGGGATAAATTCTTCTGAGATACTTAGTATCTAAAATTTTGGTAATCGCCTGCACACAGGAAGGCTTCATTCAAGTTTTTATTTATGACAGTCACCATATGGAATGATTACGTAACTTTAAAAATGAAATCTACTGTCATCCTAGCGTGAATTATGGACATGAAGAAAAACTCATCATCACTTTGTTTTTCTTAGATTTAATTTCTTTTTAACTCATGTCAGTAGGAAATAGATATGGAAATACATTTGAAATATGTTGTTCGAGGAATTATACTACACTTCTAATCTGCAATTGCAGTCATACTTTACAGATACTATAGGGAAGGGATGAAAAATGTCAAAGTTATTTTATATATAGCTTGGAAATGGTAAGAACAACTTTCTAGACATTCAGATGGGCTGGACAGTGGAAGCAGTTTCTTGTAATCAGTGGATGTATGTGGCCGTTACATGGAATCCATTGTCCTCAAATGTGAACTTATGTATAGGAGTTTGGTTTTAGCTGTGAAACATGAGTGGTTTTTTTTCTACTAGTCACAAAACTTTTAGAAGGTGACTAGGAGTGTGATGATTCTAGTCTTAATAAAAATAACTAGCATCATCTTATTTTTCAGTATTGATTTCAACAAGTGATTATTTTTCAGTTTCAATATGGTAGGAAGAAAGAAAATGAGAAGGTAAGGAGCAGCAACAATAATCGTTCTGAAATATGATGGAGCCACTT